GTCTGCTCCTCGGGGCCCCCGTGGTCTCAGCCTGTGGAGCCCCACCCAGTCTCCCAGTCACCGCGGGTGTGGTGTGACATCTGCCCGTCTGGTCCTGCGCGCCCGTTCCTGGGACGCTGGCCTTTGCTTACTTGATGGGGCTGCCGCTTCAGGGTGCCCACAGCCTGACTGCCCCAGCAGAGGGGGGTGAGGGGCATGTGCGAACCGTCACCCCCGTGCGTCCGCGTCTGAGCTCAGGTCGCCTGGAGCCGGGCAGCAGGGGCCCGGGGGACTGGGTGTCCACAGTACAGAACAGCTCTGGCGTCCCCCCGACGCGTCACGCTGCCCTGTGAAGCTGTTCATAGCCCGCCCAGCCCCGCCCAGCCCTGCCCTGTCCTCCGCCTTGTGGCCCTCCCTTCTGGAGACAGTCGTCCGTCTGGAGGCACCCTGCGCCGTTCAGGGGGAGGTGGGCACCCGTCTCCGAGCATGGTCACGGTGCCCTCAGCCACACGCCTACTGCAGGACATGCGCCACCTCCAGGTCGGGGCGCTGGTCCTTACAGGGCTCTCGGGCCAGTGGCTGGAAGCGCGCAGGCTCACGCCCTGACCAGGATTTACTCTGCCAGAGCCGAGCACCGTGCCGTGTCCGCAGTGTGGCGTCAGGGCATCCGAGACTCCGCATCCTACCAGTGCATGGTGGTGTCGCTGCGAGGCTGAGTCTGGCCCGCCTAAGAGACAGGAGCTGGTGTCTCCGTGGTTGTCGTCTGTCCCCCAAACGGCAGCGATGTAGGCGTCCCTCCCTTCCGCCGAGAGCCTTGGAGGGCTGTCCAGCTCTCGTCTCTGACCACTGACTTGGCAGAGTCTTAGATTGCTTTAGATACGAGTTGTGTGATGTGTAATGTCTTCCAGGCTGGGGCTGGTCTCTCACGGCTTCTCACAGAGGAAGGAAGCCGTGGGTGTTCAGGGCTGCTGTGCCAGGGCCACACAGCCCTCCCTTAGCCAAAGCCCACCGCCATCTCCCAGCTGCCCGAAGTCTGAAAGTTCTGTCTCCCACAGAGGCCTGGGCCACTTTTGCAGGTGTCGGTGGGAGGAAGGGGGTGGGCTGGGGTAGTCTGGGCTGCCTGGGGACAACCAGCCTGTGTGGTTAGGGGCACTCAGTCCTTGGGGACCAGCCTGTGCTCTGCAGCTAGGAAGCAAGTGCCGTGGCAGGCCTGTGGCA